GGGGGTAGACCTCATGCATTTTTTTTAATCCTATGCAAATCTGACAAGTTGCAAGAAAGCAATGCATCAACTTTACTCCAAAAACATTTGTCTCCGTCATACGTGAATATATGACATGGAATGTTTCCACTCTCGTGTAGGACTTGTGTTTTTTAAAAGAACAAATATCATCTGTATGATTCTATGAAGCTATTAAAGCCAGTCTGTGCTACCTAATCCCATTACCATTTTATAGGATTTATTTTCACTATTACTCAAATGTCAAATATTGTTTTTAGACTTTGATTTGTCATTTCTTTTTATTTTGTGGTGTACAAGATGTTTCTGATGGTGGGACGTTCTTCTATAACTTTGCATGGTTATGGCACTGTTGCATTGTTGTCGGTTGCATTTGTTTCAGTGGTAACCTGTGGTTGAGATTTGATTGTAGAAGAACCCGATTTGTTCCACATTGCTTGTGTGGGGTCCAGTGGCCATTGTAAAAAATGATGCAATCAGATATTGGAAGATCTCCTTGACTGTTCATTTGACTACTTTAATGTGATTCTTGTGGTAACAGATCTTGGTATTCATTGTCATGGAAAAAAAGACACATTCGACTTTTTGGTTTTGCTGGTTAAATACTTTTTAATTTTTTTTGTATGTGATATATTGTGAATACTCGTGTGTGTATATATATAGAAGTGCTTTCACAAAAACAGATGAATGTGTTTTGTATATAAAAATCAGGATTGTGGCAAAATAGAACCACTGGCTTATGGCTTGTTCACACCATGTCTGCTGCTCTGCGTTTTCTTGCACTCCATCGCACATGTGGACATGAACAAGGCACATAGAACACAATCTTCTGGCGGTGTGCAGAAAGATGCAGCTCAATGGACACGGCGTGAATAAGACCTGATCTGACAAAATTAAATGTGTGACATCAGGAGGACACCTTTCCATCCTATCCCTGAGGTGACTACAATACTAAAATGTGTTTTTAAAGCAGATGTGTAATACCACAACCATTTTTTTTTTAATGTGGAACAGAGGATCAGAAAATGGAGACTCCTTTTGTAGCATTTGAGGCTATTTCAAATATTTATTAAGCACAGTCGTCCATAGCAACCCGAATGGCATGACCACATTAGGCTGACAGGTTGCTATAGGTTACTGCACTTTGGACATCAGCGTTGCTCTTTGTCCTCCCTGTTTGTGTTGCTACATCAGTACAATCCAGTCTGCGTTCTGTCAAGTACCTGCACCTTGAAGAGGCGAAAACCAAACGTGCAGCATGCATGATGGGATAGAAGCAGCATGCATGGAATAGAAGCAGCATGCATGATGGGATAGAAGCAGCACAGCAGACAGACGCACTATTTCTCCACCCGATTGCCTGTTTCGATGTCCGTGATTACATTCCTTTCCCCTTTGTATGTAGTTCAGTAAGTGTAAGTTGTGATTATTTTAAATTGCATAGTAAATATTGTGTAGCTGTCTTAGCACTTGCTGTATGCGTGCTCGCGTAAGAAAATTGTGGCTGGTGCATCGCAGATTTTCACCTGCTAGGACGCGTGATGCTGCTTGTCATTTGGAGTATATTTAAAAAATGTGCTACTAGAGTAATGTTTCCTATCGAAGCAAGACGATTTATGACCTCGATGAGCAATGTATGTCTGTGAGGCAAACTCATGATACGTTACAGTATTAAACAGTTCTTTGATGGCGTCTGGAAGGGGGGGGGGGGGGGCACTGGCTTGAAATATCACTGGCATTGAATGTCAGATCCATTCAGAAGTGGGCCTAATATTCCAGCTCCTGGGTATTTACTACCTGTTTTGTTCTCAAGCAGGGAAGTCAAAGAGTCATATAAGTGATAAGTACAATGACGTATAAATAGTACAATGACGTATAAATAAATACTACTGTGACGTATAGTACAATGACGTATAGATGAATAGTACATTGAAGCAAAACTAAATAGTACTTTGATGTACAACTGAATAGTACATTGACATACAGATAAATAGTACTGTGACGTACAACTGAATAGTACTATGACGTACAACTGAATAGAACACTGACATACAGATAAATAGTACTATGACATACAACTGAATAGAACACTGACATACAGTTAATAGTATTATGACGACGTATAACTGAATAGTACTATGACATACAGATAAATAGTACTATGACGTACAACTGAATAGAACACTGACATACAGATAAATAGTACTGTGACGTATAACTGAATAGAACACTGACATACAGATAAATAGTACTGTGATGCATAACTGAATAGTAGAATTATATATAAATAAACAGTACAATGATGTATAAATAGCACTATCACAACACAACTGAATAACACAATGACGTATAACTGTATAGTCTAATGATGTATAGCTAAATAGTACAATGACATATAAATAGTACCATGACGTACAACTGAATAGTAAAAATAGACATTCTTCATCTACATCTGGGCTGGACTTTTTGGCATTCTCTAATAAATCCTAACAAATTTCTATTATAGGAACACTGCTTGCCTGGCATTATAGAGCGTGTATAACTTAATTTATATTCAAATTCACTCTTGGTTACCCGTGGTCTTATTTTCTAGTCCATACTGAAAACAATTAGCTTGTGAAGCCTTCAGGCTTTGGTGAGCCCTTCTTTCTTCAGTCAATCACAAGCTTCATTTAGCTACCACAAATATTTGCCTCGCACAAATATTCTTTTTTTTAAATTTTATTTTAAATGGGATTGCAATTCACATCGAAATTGTTATTAAATAATGACCTATTGCAGTGAAAATGTATGATCTTCTAAAACGATACAAATAGTTACATTCTGCTGTTCCTGCTTTTGAAAGATATATAAGGAAAGATTTTATTTTAGGAGAAAAGGTTCATGTGG